CAACGACCCCATTCCTGCATTCAAAGTTAATCCAGGGTTTTTTTCCTAAACGTACGGTTTTTTGTTAAAATCTCTTAAGAGATTTTAACTGACGGAGCTCTCTCTGACATTGCAAAGTCACTGTTGACCTACTTAAAACCGCGGGAAAAGCAGACAACAACAACACTATATAAGATTCATGAGATATATTTGTCTTTTTGTTAAAAATGCATTTATATCCACAATGTGTGCCATTCTGGGCTTTTCGTTATCCGACGCACTGTACAAAAACTCGCAACTTACGTCTGAGGGTTTCCCGCCATGTTATTTTGGTCTCGAATGAACGCGAGAATCCGCGTTACACCATTACGTCATTAGCAACGAATGCACTTGTCGACCGGAAAAAAGGGATCGAAAGCCCTATTGACAAGCACAGATTCTAGTTTTCCTACAATAACGGCCGTTTTAGTGGTAAAATACAATAGAATATATTTCCATGCGTTGTTTACAATGTATTTCATGCGGATTTTTGAATCTCAAAGGAAGAGTTATTATTGCTTTAATTGATACCAATAATAACCCATATTGTGCTGCTCCAGAATTGAACTAGACCTACTATTTTGGCCTAATGTTATAAAACCAAATTTTTAGCAAGTTTTTTTCTTTTCTTATTTTTGTGAAACCCATCTTGGTGATCTAAATAAGTAGCAATGAGTACCTGTGCCATAATGACTTCACCGAACTGTGAGAAATAAGCCTTCAAGTCATCCTCTGTGCTCTTCCAAGGCAAACCCAGCACTATCAGGTCACTGCATTTCTTGCTGTCTAGCCGCTTTGTTTTCACGTTGGGATTTTCCAGGGTTTCATCTCCTTTTCTTTTGTTCTCTAAAACAGTAACACTTCCAATTATTATTTAAGACTTTGTTTATCTTATCAAATTTTTCTATTTGTAATCAATGACTGTTACATACTTATGTGCAGATATAATTTTTTTCTTGTTAAAAAAACAAATTTTGTAAAACTAAGTATGTGAAAGAAATAGGTAACACCTGAGGAAAACCCAAAAACATAACACAGGATTGTAGGCATCTGTTTTTGAAAATATTTTACTTATAGTTGTATATGAAGCAAGCATAGAATCCCTGTAATGCACATATACCACTTTTACATGTTTCTTCAACAACTAAAATACAGTCAACATGCCAAAATATAAACCAAATTAATCACTCAGTCAACACAAAAAAGATTCAAATTTCAATGATAATACTGTGCACACAATTGATATACAAAGAGCAAGCCTAGTGGTACTAGATAAATGCAATGATTGTTATCTGACAAGACCAGAACATACAAATGGTTACATGTACACAATTATCAGAGACAGGTCATGAAGTATATTTTATTTGCTCTGCAGAAATAAATTTTAGCATAACAATAAAAATATTTTATCTGTACCATGTGCCATAATAGACACCGAACAGTAAATAATAGTGGAATACACTGGCAGAAAGGGTTGGAGCAACAGAAAAAATCCCCAATCACCCCCACCCCCTCACACACAAACAAAGGGGTGCTTGAATATTTTGAGATAAGTAAAAGTGGGGTCTAGATCCACATGTGGAAACGAAAAACGGGCCCTTAATAAGGCACTAGTCTGAATTTTATAGGATTGTGACCAAAAGCAGCTGCGGCGAAGGCCAAGCGCCAGGTGCGCGATTGTAGTAAAACATCCAAGACAAGACTTACGATAAAAATCCACAGATGCGTTTGAAAATGCATCTCTACCTTTTGGAAAAACTGCAAAATAGACCATGTTGCCCCATATGCCATCCGGCGGATGCAACCTCCCTTCCACTAGCCGGATTCCGCGTAATGCCCCGGTCTCTGGATTTCTGTACTTCAATCCGCTGGCACCGGGGAACTGTGCAACTAAAGTGGAGAGATGCAAGGTCCCATCATCCTCGCTTGGTAATTCTATTGGTTCCTCACTTTCGTCCTCGGCAACTTGAAGATACTGACTCATTCTGTACCTGTGAATAAATACCCAACGGCTACAAAGTTCGGTAGAATTAAAGGCGTTTATACAGTATTTCTCTCACGCAGTTTCACCACGCTCAGCTCACAGGGATCGCAAAGCCTCATGGGACATGTCGATTCGCATTTCGTTTTACGATACGTACGTTTTTAGTAGAATACAAAAGATGAAAAAACAGAATTATATATTTAGTCAACCATGAGAACATTTGAAAATCTTTTTGAGTTCCAAGTTAAATAAAATCTCGTTGACTAGAGTTGTAAACAACCGGAAGTTTATTTGTAAAAATGGCTTCCGGTCTGATGGACGGGTTCATAGCGTCCTTCGCTGAAAAGGTTGGAGCTACGGTACCAGCAATACGACTGTTTAGTTCTCTTTTGTTAGGTAATGTTGAGAATATTCATTTCTTTAAATATATATTGAATGTGGTAGTTTTGGATGTGTCTGAAGCATCGTATCGAGTTATTTATAGTACACGTGTTCCAGTTTCTTTAGTGCTCTTTTATAACGCAAGTTGTTTTCGCAATCACGTGTGCTCTTGCCCCAGTTCCGAAGTTCAACACTAAACTTGAAAAGCAGTTCACAATGTTTTGTAGATTTGAGAAAATGATTTTGTGTGGATGTTGGAGTTACTTGCTGTTTTCTTCCCAAATTGCCCCCAAAAGTTTAGAAGAACAAACGTATAGTAAAAATGAAATATTGCCCATCAATTACAGTGCTCAGTGATATATATTCATTTGCCACATTGTTCAACGCCCCCATTAACCTGCTCTTTGCCCATGTTTTTTTTTCTTTTTTTTTATCTTATGGGGAGGATGGATGGCGTGTTATAAAACTGTATCAGTAGTATGATATTTCCTTCATAAAAAATATTTTTGTGCTTTTATGTTACATACCAGAGACCCCATTGGATTTATCATATATGGTTACAGTGACATTGAAGGAACCACCAAACAAAGTTTTATTTAACACTCAGAAATTAATTGACAGTGTGAAAGTCACCAAATTTGAATGCTAGCAGAAGCAGTGGAATGAAGAAAAACATTTTGTTTTTGTTTTATTTTCAAAATTTATTTGAAGAGAAAAATTCCTTGAAAATACCATATTTAAATGGGTGATTATGGTGTCGGGCGGAAGAAAGTGCAAATTTAAAGAAACCATCTCAATGATTATCAGTACTTGTACTTTTCATTATAATTAGGTATTTCAATTCATATATACATGTATATATGTACCATTCACATATAATACCCTTTAAAGGTCACTAATCAGATTTCAAGAAAAACAGCTTCTCTCTGTATAGCAACATTAGACCCCATTTCTATTGACACCACTGGTCTACCTTGATCAATCCAACTGATGAGTGCAATCAGCGTGATTTTTAAAACTAAATTACACATTTTCTCTTGTTACTGATGTACTTATAAAACTACTAGCCTTTCTATATTCTGCTTAATTCTGCTTAATTGATCAGATACTAGTAAGCTAATTGCTCTCAGGGAGGGCCCCATTAGAGTTGGATCAATCTACATAGACCTATGGTGACTACTAGAATGGATATAATCCCTATATTCCAAATCATCGCTTTGGTCAAGTACTAGTACACTCTAGGAAGTATACTCTTGAAGTTCTTATAGCACGCAGAGAGTAATTAAGAGAGTAAAATTTTTATGTAGCAAAAAATTAACTCAACTGGAAATTTTACCCTCCCTTTCATAACCATGCACAGTCAACATAACTTGTTCAATAATCTTCATGGAACTATGATCTTGAGAAATGTTTTGGAAGTGTAATATTCTAGTTTGTTTCTAGTAATTCTCATAAGTGAGGTTGAAGCTGGAGCATTTAAAGTGATGGTAAAAGTTAAATGTCTTTTTAAAGACATTTTTTCTGTAAATGATATTGAAATGTCATTTATAGAAAAATGGTTACATATACACAGTGAATTGCAGAAGCAAAGAAGTATTGTGGAAAAAAAAACCCGATCGATAAGAAGATTTCCAAATTTGAGCCATCAATCTACACATTAAATGAATATTGAGTCTTATCTCAGATCTTTGACCTTTGATAAAGGCCCTTCGTAGTATGGCGGAACAGAAGCCGTAGCCATTTCAGCATGCTTTTCAGATTCTTGGGATTTTATCATGCCCTTCACTCTAAATGTCATGTTTATGCATGTAATAATTCAGTTTGCAATGTTAACACTTGTCCTATGCCCATTACCAGTAGTAAAATACAAGCCAAGCATTAAAATTTGGCCAGTTACTGATCACTGGGCAGCCAGCAGATTTTTTTTTTTTTTTTTTTTTTTTTTTTTTTTTTTTTTTTGCCTTTTAAGTAATGATAACAAAAGTCAGGAAGATTTAAGGGGCAAGCTGCAATTAATAGAGTGGTATTATTTAAAGTAGCTATGCATATGAATTGAAGAAAAAAAATGTTCTCTACCAATCTAGTTTTGAGGAATTTCATTTCTGAGAGACACTGTTTGCTTGGAGGGTGTATATCATTTATCGCCTTGCTTTTCCAGGTTACCCTTTAGCTTTTATATATAGGAACTTCATCTTTGGCAAGCCGTCCAATGTACAGCATGTTTTCTTTGCCTTATGTGGACTTTGGCTGTGTTACTTCAACTTTGGTAAGTGTCTAATTTTGTGGTTGCCAATATGCTCTATGTTCTATGTTAAAATCTTTGCTAATCTCTCTCTCTCTCTCTCTCTCTCTCTCTCTCTCTCTCTCTCTCTCTCTCTCTCTCTCTCTCTCTCTCTCTCATCCTTTGTTTATCTATCTATATGTTGAGAAAAATACTATCTTGTGAATAAAAAGATGTATATGGATTTTCACAAAAATTGAATATTGGAATAATTGAAGTAGTAGAAATGTTTGGAATATATTTGGCCGCCTATTTCAGGTTTCAATGTCCTTCACTCCATCGCAAACATTGTGGTCATCTATGCATTACTATTGGCCATAGGAGGGACTCAGTTGTCTGTGGCCCTGGCTTTTATTTTTAACTTGGTAAGTGGAAAGTTATTAAATGTAATATGTCTTTTGCATATTATAAAGGTAGGCAAGAGCCACTGCTAAATGAAAGAACTGACTGAGCCTTTCCAGTGCATGAAAGCACTGAACAAAAAGTTTGGGAAAAAATAAAAAAGGGAGGTGGATAGTAACTATTTTCATATCTGAATCGATAGGTTACTGTGTAATGAAGGTTTTAATCAGTCATTTTTTTTATGGTAATTCACCAGCAATCCCAAAGAAGACATAATCCCATATTTGGTACATCCAAAATGATATTTTGCATGGCATCAAAAGTATTTAAAATACTTAAATAATATATGATTTTCTTTAGATTCCACTCGAAAAAAAATTCCAAACAAGTGTACTGCAAATTTGTAGGGAAAAATTTACCCTTCCCCCTCCCGTCCAGGTACCAACCCTATGATTATATATGTTACTCCCAGGGTTACCTGATACATATGTTGTTTACTTTGTTACATAATTGTTGTTTACTTCCAGGGTTACCTGGTTGCTGCCTATTACTTCACTGCTACAGACGGGTATGATATTCGCTGGACCACCCCTCACTGTGTGCTCTGTCTGCGCCTCACTGGGCTCGTGTTCGATGTCTATGATGGAAGGAAAGACAGAGTAAGTGCTATATTTACCACTTGCCACCTGTTGGATAAGTGCTTTTGTTCATGAATTATTCTACAGTTGAAAACGACTTGCCTAGAAGTCGATATTTTGGCTGGCAATCCTTTGAGTCTTTAACTGCCATGCTAATAGCCACTGGCCAATTGGACAAAATCCCTGGTAGAATATTTAGTGCACACCAGAACATAGCATGGTCAGATGGTCAGTTTCAGACCATGTAGAGCGTTCAATCTTTACCAGTTTTATCATTTCTATTAATTCCAGAAGTCTCTGTCCAGTGACCAGCAGTCCACTGCTCTGGACACCGTCCCCAGTCCACTGGAGGTGCTGGGCTACTCTTATCACTTTGGGGGATTTATGACTGGACCACAGGTAACTTATTATGGAGTTGTGCATCTTTTTAAGTTGTAAGGTGTCAGGTCAATGTGTGTGTGTTTGTGTATGTGCATGTGCATGTGTGCGAGTTGGTTAATATACCGTTATATCTAATATGTTACAATTCATGTTTATTTGTAACAGTTGCCATTTTAAACATCTACAAAAATGCATCTCTCTCTCTCAATATGTCTGTGTTCAGAAATGATAAGTGGGACTGTTTCTTTTCAGCAATTTGAAATTTTGTTGATAAAACTTTGTTAGCTAACCATTTATTCAATTATTGCTACATGTATGGTAAAATGTATTTATTGTAAACAAACCACTTCAGATACCTTCATACTAAATTTTTCATCTTCATGTCAGGGTTATACACTACTAAACACTTTCCTGAGGATTAACATGTCATTTTTTTGTTTCAGTTTCCGCTGAAGCGTTATCGTGGTTTTGTTGAAGGTGCATTTGGCAACAAGCAGACAGGAGGACCTCCAGCAAGGTAGCAACTCCCTAACACCCTCTTACCCCACTGCCTATTTCTCTCATGCTGAAGAAAAAGTAACATTTTTACAGCCTGTGTTTATAGAATTTCACATTTAATTTATATGATACAAATACCTAGCTGACAAGCCTTTATTGTTATCAGTAAGATCTGGTATTGTTGATATGGGTTATATATGAAATCAAGATCGAGCTGACAATACCGGAATCTAGAACCTAGGGTAGGCTCATAGAGCTATACAAAATAAAGCACACCATGGTTCCCTAGCCCTCACTTTGGTACAATTAGAAACAGACTTGGGTTTCAGCATGTAATGGCCGTCAAATTGCACCAGTTGACCTCAAGACTCTAGCAGACAAAAAAGGACCTTGCACTCCAGTATTTGCAACATTGTAAAAACATTGCTCACATTCAGAATGGATGATCCATGGACTAACTGATCTGCCAGCTGAATATAACTGACCCCACTTAAGAGCAAGCCAACTAATCCCCTTATGGTCTCCCCTTCTCCACATGTGCCATTAAATGGATTAATTCTTGGTTTTGAGGTTTAATTGCTAGGCTAGTGTGAAGGCTGGGAGACAATCAGGGGATAAGGTGGCATTATTTTTAAGTGGGTCGGCCATATTTAGTCTGCGGATCAGTTTGGCTGTGAACTAACATGTTCTAAAAGCACTCCCGAATTGAAGCTTATTTTTTGTGCTTTGTTTGTTATTGTAGCATCATACCTGGTATGAGGAGGCTGAGTCTGGGAGTGGTCTATATTGCTGTCTACCAGGTGGGGCATCAGTTCTTCCCTGGACTCTATATGGTGGGAGACGAATTTGCTGTGAGTATGGACTTGGGTCAGTGGTCAGGTTAAGGATTTCTGGAAAGGGAGCCCAATTTTTTTTCTTTTTTCATCGTCATAATGGACTTGGGCTGGTGGTCAGATTTAGAATTTCTGCAACAAGAGCCCTATTTTTTGTCTTTTTGTATTGTCATACGGTCATAATAAAAAGTGAACCAGTCACTTAGTTTAAATTTAAGAAGACTGGGAGGCAAGTTTAAATTTAAGAAGACTGGGAGCCGTGGGAGGGCATGGACTTCTTCTCAACTTTGCTATTGTTTTGAAGGTTTTGTAGTTTGTAAATTATTGTTGTGAAAATTTTTTCTTCATTATCATTATTTTGCAGTCTCTGCACCTCTGGCAAAAGTTGCTGTACATTGGAATTTGGGGGAAGTTTGCTTTGTACAAATATATAGCAGTCTGGATGATTGTGGTGAGTTGTGTATTCATGGAGTAAAAAATTCAAAACTTTTTCCTTAAGCAAGAATGTTTACTGTATCATTACACAGAACAGTTGTTAGCGCAACTCTAGAATATTTATTAGGTTTTATGATTTTTAAGGTCTAGACTGGGAGAGATATGTAATTTTGTATTAAGATGTTGAGCTGTACTTAGCTTGATCCAACACCGCAGGGACTCTCCCTGAATGCAATAAGATTAATACGCTTACTGATTGTGAGTAGAATACAGAAAGGCTGGTGATTATACAAGTATGTTAGAAACAATGGATTGCATTCAGCAAGAGTTCACAGGGAGTTGGATAGATCTACATAGAACTATAGTCTCACTGGGAGTGAGCCCATAGAAAATATGACTTTGGGGCATTTACAAAGGTATATAGTATACCTTAAATTTATTTGAATATTTTCAGGAAGGTGCATGTATTTTGACTGGACTTACTTATAATGGAACAGATCAAAATGGAAATGATCTCTGGGATGGCTGTATCAATGTTAAGCTTGTAAAATTTGAAACGGCCACAACGTTTCAGGAGAAAATAGATTCCTTTAATTTAAACACAAATCTTTGGATGTTAAAGTAAGTAGGAGAAAAGTACAAAGAGGTCAGGTTGTGTGATCTTGTCTTTCTAATGTAATTTAATGTTGTAAATTGCTAAATTCCTCTCTATAAGTATTTAGACATTAAATACAAGTTTTTAAGAAGTATGTGAATCCTAAATGTAGATGTCCCTGTCTTCTGAGAGCTGAACACTAATATGATTTTGACAAATCCTGCTGGAAACTGCCAGGCACTTATAAATGAGGTCTCCTAGATGTTCCATTGAAATGCTGTATACACCTTTTAAAATACACTTCTGGATGTCCACAGTGTTAAAAATTTGAGTCTGTGCTGTGAAAAAACTGGATGTACAACTTTGATCTGTTGTCTTGACCTTTACAATTTCATTAAAAAAAACTTAAATACATGGTTGTTTTTATATATATTTACCCCTGTTCCAGATATGTATATAAAAGACTGCGTTTCTTGGGTCACAAAGAGATCTCACAGGCAGTGACGTTATTCACCCTAGCTGTGTGGCATGGCATCCACTCAGGCTACTACATGAACTTCGCTCTAGAATTCCCCATCGTGAACATGGAGAAAGATGTGAGTAGAGGCGGCTAAAGAGAATCCAAGTGTGTGGCACTGTGTTTTTTATTCTTGGCATTGTCAGTTTTAAGTGGCTTGTTGAGGACAAAAGTAAAGATAATTTTCTGAATCCTTTTTTTTTTCTATTTGTGGAAAGAGGTTGGTCTGAAATTTTGCAATATGATGGATGCCAGGGCTTGACACAAACTTTTTCATAACTTGCTCTAATAGGCAAGCAGGTCTGTAAAATCTGTTTGACCCACTCCAAAATCAATTTTGGGATGTTCTTATAGTGGGGGGGGGGGATCTTTCCAAAATCCAATTTATGTCAGGCAAGTGACCTATTAGCAAGAAACTCATGTTTGCGGGCAAGTGCGAATAAAATTCTAGTTGCACCATGACAGAAGTCACATGCGCCAAGCAAGTAACACCAGAATGTCAAGGCCCTTTTTGTCTGACAATGGTACACGCAGTATAGAAATATGACCAATTTGAAAGATGTTCATTGTGTTTCAGATACAAAGAGAAGTGGACAGAAACCCCACATTAAAGAGGCTATGCAATCATCCCCTGGTGTATCCTGTGCACTGGGTGTTCAGGAAAATGTTTGTGGAAGTGTTCTTGGGGTATCCTCTCATTGGATTTGTACTGCTCACTTATGAGAGATGGTACAAGGTGGGTGTTTGCTTTTAAAATATCTTTATGAGCTCAGTCTGTTCCTTAAACTTGTTCTCTTTTGTGTTTTTTGGCTCTCCTAGTGCAGTTGCCCTGGAGAAATAATCGTGTGTGTGTGTGTGTGTGTGTGTGTGTGTAAGTGTGTGTGTGGGGAGATGTGGGGCAAAGCAAAACAATTGCCGGTAAGTAAACAAAACGTGCAAAATTTTGTTTGCTCAAAGTTGGAGAAGTTTTGAATTACTGAATAGATCTGCAGGGTTACACAGTCTTTTTGTTTCTTTCATGATTTTCACCCTAAAGTCAGTTTTATGCCTAACTTCTTTAGTCAACTTGTCACATTGTTAAAGTGCCATGCACTCATTTTATTAACAGTTTTTCAATTTAACAAGAAATACGTCAATTGTGGGCATTTTGCAGGTTTCTTATAAACAAGAAAAATTATTTTTGATGAGAGACATACAAACAAATACATGAAGAAGAATTGTTAAGAATATTAAAAAAAATTACAAACTATTTCTGGCCTCCCGACTCCACTTTTTAAGGCATATATCAAGGGATGGCTAGTTTTAATATTGCAGATTGTATTACAGTAACTAAGCTAATAACTGTTACATCAGAATTTCTTTGTTCACTACAGATCTACAGTGAAGTGTACTGGTGCGGCCATATTTTATTTTTCTCCTGGCCCCTGGTCTATATGCTGCTGAAAGCAACTGTGCTCAAGAGACCCAAAGCCAAGGTGGAGAAGGACGCTCAGATGCAACAGAAACTAGTTGATGCCAAGTGAGTGGGAGGATGCTATTCTTATGAAAATAAATTAGTGTAATGCAATTATACTGTCTGTAACGCAGTGCAAAGTGACACAGTGCTATTTTATCGGAATATTTACATTGACTCAGATTGAAATGTGTGAAATTCTCAAAAAAAAAAAAAAAAACAAGTGCAATTATTATAATAATAATGATAATAATAAAGTCATTGGGGACTAACATTTTTGTCATATGCATTGACCCATTAGTTGGCCATTTTTCCTTTTTAATTACAGTTGGTGCTTAAACTAATTGTTTTTTTTTTTAATTTTTATTTAGAGTTGAAAAAACAGATTAAAAAGAAAAAGGAGAAAAAAGAAAATAATTCTACGTGATCCATTTCAAAGCAAAGCCATGATGTTTGGAACATTCCCGATCCACAGAACTGCCATATTTATATAAACAAGATGATGGAGGGTAATCTTAGAGAACTTCATACTCCAGAATCAGTTAAACATGACATCAGGAAGGTGATACACATACCGTCTGTTTTAAGGGCTGCTTTAATCTGTTGCATTTCAATTATGATTATTATTTATTAAAAGTTTGGTTGTAAAGGTGCCTATGGGTAAGTTTCATGTTGTAGACTAGATAGGAGAATTATAATGGATAGTTGTTATTTATATTGAGGCTTTAAGTTGTAGTGCTAAACACTTGTTTGTAAAGTTACCACAAGACATTAAGTTTCACATTGAAATATACTGGCTTGCTGTAAGCAAGTGGCATTTGTCTTTGCAGATGTTAAAATTCAGATGTTAATATTTAAGTGTCAGTTATGATTTCACAAGATTTAATTTGACTCTTTTAGTTTCTCACAAAAATATTTCTGCCTTGAATGACTGAAGTCTGGTTTTGGATATTATCAATGAGACATTGATTTTGGAGACAGATAAAACAATTCCGTTTGAATTTTGAGAGCAGTTATCAAACAGATGATACTAGGTAAAATTGATTTAGAAAGTCTTCAGCTATTTATTGTTAGAAAAGTACTATCTTGGAATTTATAAGTAGTTTTTGGTGTTTTATCCTGTGTAGTTATTGATAATGAAAGTAGACATAAGACCCTTTTTACTTTTAGCTGAATAATGCAATTTTCAGTTAACAAATTTTACCACACAGTGTATGTGCCATGTGATCATTTCATTAAGTTTTCAAATTTAATCAGTTAACAAGAAAGATGATCTAAACTTCGGGCATTATGCATGTTTCTTGTAAGCAAAGGAAATTATTTTTCTAATGAAAGACATAGATATATCTAAAGAATCCTAGTTTTTTTTATAAGGTTAAATGTCTTGAGTATAACAAAATGTCAGTATATCCTGAAGAAAGTATAGTATTTTTCAAGGATATTTAAATATGCTATAGATATAAAAATACAGATTATATAGATATAAAAATACAAATAGGAATCATTTTCTAAAAAAAAAAAAAAAAAAAGAACAGAACACATGCTATATCTTTTTTATTTAAGAGCAGTATACCACAAGTTGAAAAAATAAAATGTAGTAGCATTTTTGTCATGATACATAGATTTTTTGAATTTGTTGCATTTTATCCACCAAGCATTTAATCATAATAGCAGCCTAACAAAACCAAACTTCAAATAAGGTATTGCTGTTTAAGCTCATTTAAATGGAGAGCTGAAACTTTCTCAAGTATATTCCAGCCGTTTTTAGAATTAATCTGAATTGTCATCATAGTCCCATTTTAATACTATATAATTATTTGCTTCTGTTAGATGACTTTTGTTTAGATTTTCATTCTGCTACATTAATCAAATTGTCATGACCTTAAGTCATTTTTTTCGCCATAATAGTGGATCAGCCTTATAGTAGTTTGTGTAAAAAGTGTTACTTTTATAAAAGAAACTACCGAAACAATAGGGAATAACTGAAAGTCTAACAGATGCATAGAGTCTGTCACCGAAGTGTTTGGTCCTCCTCGTTAGAATGGCGCTGTTAAAGAAAAAAAAAACGTGCCTTCAGTGACCACGACCGCTTAGACCACGCCCAAGTCATCCATGTGCTCGCTCCGAACCTTGGAACCCATGGTGAATAAATGATGTCTCTCTCGATGATTATCTGGAGCGAAAAAGACTCTCATACTATCAGACCAGCCTTAACGGAACTATTGGGACAGGTGGACAGTTTTTATAGCGTATAACGTTCAATATGGTTGTGATACTTAGAAAAATCTTTTTTAGTACGGTATTTGTGCAGCGGAGCCTTGAGATGATTATATGGTGCAGATAGGAGATTGTCTTCCTGATTGAGTGTCATAATATGGTTTAATGTAAAGAAGGTTATGTATGTTTAGGTTTAATTTTTGCTTGGCAAATACTAACAGGTTTGTGCTCGAGACGACATAAAGCACAAGGTAGCTTTTTGTTTTCGTTATTTCATTATTTATATGATTATTGTTCGTCCATCAAATTCAGTGGTATTGTGCCGCAACATTGGGTCTGCACTCTCTGTTAAGTTGACATTATTTTATAAAAAATTCAATTGTCGAGTTGTTCTTAAAAAATGAAAATAATAAGTAAGGAAGTTGGTATGAAATTACATTTTAAAATGGGGAATGTTTACGTTGCAAGGTGAACCATAAGTTCATGCAGTTTGCAGACTTGAGTATGTTGCGCCTGGGTGAACGTTCGGACACTCAAACCAGTTTAGGTCTCAAAACCGTCAAGAGGTAAAACCGTGCCCTATCCCGTTTTCTTTTGTTAACAGCCCTAAGAGAGCATTCAGAACAGCGTACCGACTAATTCGCGGATCAAATATGGCCGCCTCACTTGAATGCTTGTTGTGCAATCTCCGCGGGAAATATATTCTGTGTTTAATCGGGAATTAAACAACAAGCTTTTTAGTGGGTCGCCATGTTTGATCCGCGGATCTGTTAGTCCACTGTTCTGAATGTGCTAAGTCAAGCGGAGAAGCATCTGTAAAGAGTTAATGCTGGTGTTGGTGGCCAGTTGATTTGATTGTCTGATGGCATCGTCTAGACCTAGACCGGTTTGGGTTTTACTACGTGTCTGAGGACTCCTGACTCAGTTGCTGTTGTTGTTATTGTGTTCAGCTTCTATTTTATTGTACAGAGAGAAGTGAAACCATATTGAAAAATGTTTTGGTTTCTTATATAAAAGAATGTTAAATAAAAACATTGTGGAAATTATGCTGTTGTTTATTTTTGGCAATTCTGTTTTTGTTATTTTTTTTCTGAAGACTGGGGAAAGGCAGGTTTTGTGCTACAAAGAGTGGAGGAAAGCAGGTTGNACAAAGAGAGGAGGAAAGCAGGTTGAAAAAGACGAAGCACTGTTTTAACAATGCTACTTTATCTCTTTCAACAATTAATTAACAATTAAAATTGTTTACTTCAAACTATATTTTCTCTTAAGTTCCTTTCTTTGACACGAAAAGCCCCCATCTCTCTTCGAACACCCCCCCCCCACACCCCCCCGAACATGACAGAACACTTATCGCCTGGAGCAAGTTATCATACTAGAAGTCTTTGTGGAAAAAAAAACCTTCTCAAATTGCACCTTTTTGCTTTTAAACAAATGTCCGATATATTGACCTTCATGTTCAGTGTCCGTCATTTTCTGTCAGGCCGACATATTTCTTCACGGAAATTTAACACTAAAATTAATATGATTAACGATATAGGCCCATATACATGTATAATGATTTTAATTCCGTGAACTCACGAATGCTATTTTATAGCGTTATATTAGAAATTCTTTTTTCTACCTTTGTACAGATGCAGTGCTTCAGGTGTTTCCAGTAACGTGTTTATCTCATCGATAATTGCAGTAATTCCGTAATAGTATACTGTTATCTTTCGCGCTGTCCGAATTTTCGTCGCACAAACAAGGTGCTTTTATTTGTGTTGTTCTCAAAATCTGTTGACTTGCAACCTAGACAACCATCAGAATTTTACGTCATCAGTCGGTCACTTTGACAACGTATGCCCAGCAGTCAGCAATGTGAACATAATAAAGAACAGTCCACCTGGGCTCGAATGGCGTTGGCGATAACAAGCGGGCGACACGTCGTTAATTACGTCATTATCACGTGATCCCTAGGTGTTCCACTCCGAGAAGCAGAGCTCTCCGCGATGGTCATATATATCACGCTTTCCCATTACTTGCTCTGGGTGTGAATATTGTAAATAAAAAACACATTACAAGTGGGAGTTAACCAAATTTTCCTATTTCGTGGACAAATGAAAAATAAATAAATTATTAAATGAATGAATGGTTTAATTCAATAAAAAGAATTAAACAATATGCGTAAAAGGTACAAGAAGTGAAAGGGCTCCTACGGACTTTGAATGGTATCTTTGCAACTCTTTCTTTCGATACTAAGAAATTAAACACAGCTTTGCAATCAATGGTTGCCACATCGTTCAATTTGTCCAAGATCAGATCGAAGGGCTGAACCAAGGAGTTATAACAGAAGGAGATTACACGCAAGCCTTTCTATTGTCCGACGTCTGTTACGGTGGGCGGGGGTAGCTACGGGGGGGCCCCGGGCTCCAGGGTTCGTCTGCGTCGCTCTCCTCANACAAAGAGTGGAGGAAAGCAGGTTGAAAAAGACTGTTTTAACAATGCTACTTTATCTCTTTCAACAATTAATAAACAATTAAAATTGTTTACTTCAAACTATATTTTCTCTTAAGTTCCTTTCTTTGACACGAAAAGCCCCCATCTCTCTTCGAACACCCCCCCCACCCCCCCGAACATGACAGAACACTTATCGTCTGGAGCAAGTTATCATACTAGAAGTCTTTGTGGAAAAAAAAAACCTTCTCAAATTGCACCTTTTTGCTTTTAAACAAATGTCCGATATGTAGACCTTCATGTTCAGTGTCCGTCATTTTCTATCAGACCGACATATTTCTTCACGGAAATTAAACACTAAAATTCATATGATTAACTATATAGGCCCATATACATGTATAATGATTTTAATTCCGTGAACTCACGAATGCTATTTTATAGCGTTATATTAGAAATTCTTTTTTCTACCTTTGTACAGATGCAGTCCTTCAGGTGTTTCCACTAACGTGTTTATCTCATCGATAATTGCAGTAATTCCGTAATAGTATACTGTTATCTTTCGCGCTGTCCGAATTTTCGTCGCACAAACAAGGTGCTTTTATTTGTGTTATTCTCAAAATCTGTTGACTTGCAACATATACAACCATCAGAATTTTACGTCATCAGTCGGTCACTTTGACAACGTATGCCCAGCAGACAGCAATGTGAACATAATAAAGAACAGTCCACCTGGGTCTGAATGGTTAGGCGATAACAAGCGGGCGACACCTCGTTAATTGCGTCATTATCACGTGATCCCGAGGTGTTCCACTCCGTGAAGCAGAGCTCTCAGCGATGGTCATATAGGCCTATATCACGCTTTCCCATTTTGCTCTGGGTGTGAATATTGTAAATAATCCGCTATTGTAAATGAAAAACATGTAACAAGTGGGAATTTTCCGAATTTTCCTCTTTCGTGGACAAATGAAAAAAAGAATTAAATGAATGAATGGTTTAATTAAATTAAAAGAATAAAACAGTACTAATAATAATATGCGTAAAAGTAAAGAGAAAGGGCTCCTGGGGACTTTGAATGGTATTACACATTTCTTTGCAACTCTTTCTTTCGATACTAAGAAATTAAACACAACTTTGCAATCAATGGTTGAGACATCGTTTAATTTGTCCAAGATCAGATCGAAGAGCTGAACCAAACGTATAGATCCAAAATCAGTCGGCATCGAAATCAACGTGTTATCATGACCCAGACCCGTGCGTAAGAGCCCCAAGGCCTTCCCTCTGACGTCACAGCCGCTGGTCGTTATTTCCAGCTGACCGCTCGCCTGGACGTGGTTGCTGTGTGGATGGCGTAATCGTAAATCTGTGTCGCAAATGCCGGTGTAATCAGAGTCAACATCAGGGTTGAAATGAGGAAGAAAAGGGGGCGCCGAGGGTGTCATTATTGCCCGTATGGTGCAGGCAGTTGCACATGGAAATCAAATCGTGTAGCAACGATTTTTCGTTCCATTTTAGCGCTATACTCATGGAGTCTCCGTGATAACTTAACTTTGCAAATGTGCACCTTTGAGGTTTGATTTTGAAGCAAGGGGCATCATTACTGTTATTCGCCGTTTTAAGTTATTTGAAGTAAAAACAATCATTTTACACCAAAACGTCAAAAAATCTTTTTTGTCTGTGCGATGATAATTAACCCCTAAAGAGTGATGTGCTGTTTTATTAGAACATCAACGTTACTGATCATGAGAGGCCAAGTAATATATAAGAATGGATTATCATCGAAATATAAGTATTACCTTGGACAAACAAATATTTTTTCGCCCAAGGTTTTAATACAGTCGAAAGCTCTCAGGTGTGTAGCCAACAATTTCAAAGGGGTCCTTTTCTTGAAAAACGTACGTTTCTTTCCCCTTAATTAACCAAACTTGAATTCAATTAAATAAAACCGAGATGATCAAATTTTATTCAGAGCGGACATTTTCCCGACAAAAGTTGGGTTCTTTCTCCCCCCCCCCCTCTCCCATCCCAATAGTCTACGGGCCTATGTCTTTACGTAGATACAACCCAGAGGCTATAAATAATTACCAGGACTATTTAAAATATGTTTCTTCCTCATTGTATACTTATTTGCCAATACCACCAGTTGTCTTTCCATTGTACCGATATGCGCTACCGCGCCTCATAATAAATTTGTCCATAAAAACATTTCATACATATAAATCATCAGAAAACCGTCCACAAGTCCCTCACTTACAGCATGACAGATATAACGATAAGCAGCGACGCGGAAGATGATGCTGCCTTTCTCTTTTTATGTACACTTTGTTAGCGAGCGCTGCGGCGTGAAATAGAAGGCCTCTAACGTCATCTCATACACGTCACGATTTTCTAAGCCGAGTCTAATGCGGTGACAATTTAGCTGTAGGATAATTGAGCGCAAGCGCACGCTCATTTTAATCGTTAGACCCGCGTATGTGGTATAAAATAACTTTCGGCTGACACTTTCACTAGTTCATTTTAAGAAGAGACAAGTTATTGTGCACAGCTACTAGTATATATTAAGTGGCGCGCTGTACGCTTAAAAAGGAAGGAATTAAAGGGAGCGCCAATACCACCGTGAAGTTATTATTCATAGTGGATGACAAGCTGGATTGTATATATATATATTCGTATGTCCGGGCCAAAAGTTTAATGACACCTTTCCTGTGAATTGGGATTGCAAAAATAAGCAATTTCCGTAAGGCCAATTTTTTTTATACGGAGTCATCCAGGGCGAAAATTATTAGTTCATAAACTATAATCATTATCATATATCATATAATATTCGTTCCACGTATGTAAAGAAGATCTCTGTTAACTATTAGAGGAGCGGAGTATCAATCGAGAAGTTTCCCAAACTGGAGAGCATTTCTTTGGAAAAATAAGGTAAGAGCTAAATTTATGATCTGTAATTATCAGTAATAGTATCCGTCTTTTATACAATGTAAGAATGTTTTTGTATAAGGAAACCATGGGCATTGGTGAGGTTTTGGATATGTTTTTGTGTACATATACATGTACGACATTACCCAGCTTTGCACGAGTTTAGTCCGAGGCAAAATACTCGGAGGTCTGACGAAGGAAGTAGATTTTTGTAAACTACTTGGCCAATGAGACTGAGGGCAACTTTAAGCCGTTTTTTTATCAGTTTTATGTTATTACACAATTTGTTTTCGGCCCAGTTAAATTTTATTCGGACTGCCAGATTTCCGATGTCTATCGGTGCTACGAGTGGTTTACCGTCTATAATCTTTAGACACGGATCTGGGATTATTTGAAGGGGGGGGGGGGCTTTTTTTAAACAATCACAGGTCCCCTTGGCATGGGGTGTGTGGCCCGCTGAAGTCCCCCCCCCCCCCCACAAAAAAAAAAAAAAAAAAAAAAAAAAAAAAAAAAAAAAAAAAAA